TATTGTTCAAATAAAGGGAATGTTCCTAAGGGATGTATGGATTGTTCAAATAAAGGGAAGTTTCTTAAGGGATGTATGTATTGTTCAAATAAAGGGAAGATTCTTAAGGGATGTATGTATTGTTCAAATAAAGGGAAGTTTCTTAAGGGATGTATTGATTGTTCAAATAAAGGGAAGATTCTTAAGGGATGTATGTTCATACATCCCTTAAGAAACTTCCCTTTATTTGAACAATGATTGTTCAAATAAAGGGAAGATTCTTAAGGGATGTGTGGATTGTTGAAATAAAGGGAAGTTTCTTAAGGGATGTATGGATTGTTCAAATAAAGGGAAGTTTAAGCTGTATTGCTGCCTACCATGCATGCTTTAATTGGTTCATTAGTGGGATTAAGTATTTTTTTAAAAGAGCCATTTTGTTTTGTAGTCACAGAGACAAGCTAAAAAAATATACCCTAGCACTGATTATTTATTTATCAGCTTTATTATAAAAGTTCATGAAAACTTTGTTAATAACTTAAAGCTAAAACTATATATATTTTCAAAATGTGTGTAGATATTTGATCTTTCATTATCTGAGGGACATTTTAAAACTTAAACAAGAATCAATAGCTTACAGTTAACAGTACATTTAAATAGATCTTCAAAGATTAGAATTAAAATCACCTTCTGTTTATATCTAGCAGTTTACCACATAACCTATAAATTATGAGAGAATACTGATCCTGTTACCGAGTAAAATTGACGTAACTTGTACATAATACGTACAATTGGTATGTTGATTGGATGAGGTTACGGCTAGGTTTCCCCCTGTTAAAATAAATCCATGCTAATATTTCCATATTTTAAACTTAATATGTTATTGAAAATCCACCTTGTTTACATTCTTAGTTAGATTTGAACTCAAGGTTTATTTTCTTAGTACTTGATATTTTGAGAGGATTTTCTTTAGATGTGAAAATAGTTATGGCAAGTTGTTAGTATCAGGCTATACACGTTAAGAAATTTACCTGTTTAATGTATCATAAGTTTCTCATTTACTTGTTCTCTTCAAGTAATCAAAAACAGATTTTTCTTTTGCTGTTGAAAGTTAGAAAAAGGAGTGAATAATTATAGACAAAACCTTAATACATTTTGTTAAAACAATCAAAATTTAGTTTTTTAATTACTATTTCAAATTATGTAATTCGGTATTTGATTTTTTTTTTTACTATAGCTTTGCTTAAATATTTATTTAAATCAAGTGTATTTATATCAATACCAGTTTATGAAGTGGACGTCCAAGTTCGCTAATTTATTTAACATTGGCTCTAGTTATTTTTTTTTCTGATATTTTTGAGACATCATGTTTTATTTTTGGATGACCAGAAAACTGATTATAGTTTTGGTCACAAGTATACAGATCTTATATAAGTTGTATATGATTGTAATGTTTTCAGATGGCAGCAATATTCGGAGTTCTGTGGACAATGAGTGTCCTTGCCTTCCTCTATAGTAATACCCTTGCTATTCCTGCCTATGCAAATCCACTGGCTCTTGTAGTTATCATGTTTTTTTTTCTCATCAATCCAGTAAAGACAATGAGACACCATGCCAGGTTCTGGCTTCTTCGAATTCTGGTTCGTATTTGATTTTATGTAAAGGGAGGCATTCTTATTTGGGTTATGGTTCGTAAAGTAACGAATAAAACTGAATAAACTCGGATGTAAACTTATTGTAAACAGACCAGTGTTATACATGTGGTAAACATACCAGTGTTATACCTATGGTAAACATACCAGTGTTATACCTATGGTAAACATACCAATGTTATACCTATGTTAAACATACCAATGTTATACCTATGTTAAACATACCAATGTTATACCTATG